CGCTCCAGCCCCAGCCCAGGTTTGTTTGAAGTGCAATCCAGTCCTGCCCGGGACTCGACCAAATTAATGTGGAACTGCACAGATTGGCCCTGCACCACTCGGGTTTTGGCCCAGGTTCATTTGAAAGCCACTCTGATCTCTAAGGACCTGGGGGAGGCTATTGGGGAGGGGGGAGATGGGAGAGGAGGCATCACCTTTACCTGCTGCAAGCCAAAACAACCAGCCTCATCCAGCTTTATGTTCATTCTGGAGGGTAACAGAGATGCCTTTTGGTTTTTTTTTTTCTTTTTTTTTCTTTTTCTTTTTTTTTTCTCCTTTTTTTCTTCTTTTTTTTCTTTTATTTTTGGTTTTTTTTCCTTTTTTTTCTTTTTTCTTCTTTTTTTTCTTTTTTTTTTCTTTTTTTTGATGGAGGATAAAGGGAAGGGAATCAGTTTCAAACCCCACATGGCAAAACGATGACATACTCCTTTGCAAGAAGTTAATTATTTTTCCCAAAGCCTCCCATGCTTTCCATTGGCACCGCTCTGGGCTCTGCCCTCCTGCTCTTTGAATTGCCATACCTCCTTGATTAACTCTGTCACAAGAACGAGCTCAGCTCCAAAGCTGGGGAAGTTAAACCGGCTGGATTTCATAAACACTTTCGCAGGCTCACAAATCTTTCGCCGGAGCTCAAAGGGAAATTGATTTGTTACATAAATCTCAGGATAAGCTCGGCGTTTGGGAGGCTTCCTGCTTTCATTTTATGAAACGGGGCTGGGCAGAGGCACAGGTTGGTCTCCTGGGACAAAGGCTTGTTGTGGAAACCCATAAGCCGTTCTAATTGCATTAAAGCACCTGCCTTCAAAAAAAAAAAACCATCAGAGCTGAGGGATCAAACACTTAAAATTTAGGAAATGCCAAAACTAAGGTCGCTGTGCAATAATGTTAGGCAAATAGGGATTATTGGTTTTTTGCTTTGCTTGCCAAAGTTAAAAAAGAAAAAAAATGAAGTCCAAATGAAAACAGATTATTTGTTTGACTGGGAGGGAAGGGACTGAAATCAATCCCTTGAAATGGGTTAATGAGATTAAAAATAAAAGTCTTAAAGACTTCATTTGGGATCAGCTTGGAACAAAAATTAACATATTGCAGAGTTATTGAATCTTCCCAAAATAATGTCTAGCTTTGAAACAGAAACATTGCTTCCTCCTGACATTTTTCTGTTTGAAATGGCTGAAAAATCTTCAGAATTTTTCAGCTGATTTATCCCGTGTGCGTCCCGTGTCCCGTCTTCCATTTACTCACAGACACCCCCACAGACTGCAGTTTCCAACCAATTTGCTATTTACATCCCCAATGCATGTGGTTTTAATTGCCAACATCTATCTTCTGTGTGAGTGTGCATCGCAGCTTAACGGAATAAGAGGATTTTATGCTCCTCTGGACCAACATTTGGGGCTCATCACCTATTTTTTGCAGAGCAGGGATAGGGCTTGCTAGAGAAGAAATTGTTAGAAGTGTCCTTTCTTCTCCTTGTTTGTTGTTGTGACACTTCTTTTTTGTCACCAACCCATCCCTACTCTGAAGATGGAACACCTGGGTCTTCCCAACATCCCTGCAGCACTTGTTATACTGATGCCCGGGCACTTTTAAAACAGGAATCCATCATCATGATGCTCAGGAGCAGAAAGGATGCCACCGCAGCATCCTACAAACCCAAGGTCCATCCAGTAAACCTGAGAGCATCTGCTGGCTTGCAACAGATGAGAAAGGGAAATCTACAGGTGCTCCAGGAGGGATTTCTCTCTCTGAAATTTAGATACCTTAAAATTAGCTGTCAAGTCAGCCTGTACAGACTCCCTCTGCAATCAGCCAGCTATTTGAGAGGACAATCATACCTTTTGCATGAGAAACATATTCTACGATGAGAAGAAAGACCTTGTTGCATTAAGAAATGTGAATATCTAGGCTAGAATCACAGAATAATTTAAATTTGAAGGGAGCCGTGGAGGTTGTCTAATCCAACCCCTTGCCCAGAGCTGGACATGCTGTCAAAGGTACTTCATGTTCATGTTCCAAAGAGTCTACGTAGTGAAGACAAGAGGGAAAAGGGGTATTCTCCATTATACCCAGAGCAGAAACAAGGATGAACGTTGCAACCTGCCTGCAGAAAATGGCAGTTACATCTTAGTTATAAAATTCTCCCTTTATCATGCAGGCAATACCAGGCTGGAACAGAACCAGGCTGCCTGCCTTTCATGACACAGGCAAAGACAGCCTAGTAGGTAAAAAAATTATATCTTAATAGACATCATAATTTAACTGGGGAAAAAAAGGTGAATTTACATGTACAAGAAGCCATTTTTAGATCGGAAAAAGTACCAAATGTCCCAGCTAAATTCAAGTTAACAAGTTAATGAGCTGTGGATCCCTTAGACCGTCTTACGGAAAAGATGGTACCTGCTGAGAAGAAAGGCAGGGAGCACGATGGGGAGAGGTGGGAGCTGATCATCTTCCTTGAGGAAGGAAGGCATGAGGAATTCATGGCACGTGGAGAAGAGCATTTGATGGAGGAAGAAGAAGATTATACCTCAGATGGCAAAGCTTTGTGTCCAGATCCTTCATGAGGAGAGGATTTACACCTAGGGTCAGGACAGAGGTCAGAGCCCCCTCATTCTTTTGTGAGAAATGTTCCCTCAAAGGTCATGGGTTGTTTCCGTCCCCTCTTGGTGGAGTTGGCTCATTGTCCTGACTGATACCACACCTTCTGCCTTCAAATGGCCATTCTGCCTCCCTTTGAACAACAGCCTTGTGCCATGTATATGGCCATTAGGATTTGGAGTTTGGCCCCACGCACTTCACAGTACCATTTCTCCAGATGGCCAAAGCAGGAAGGTTCAGGTGGTTCCACTCCTTTTTTGACATCAGTGGGAGCTGGTGACCTTTAGGGAGGTGTCTTCCCTACAACAGGACGTGATGGAGGTCATTAGAAAGCTTAGATCACTACTTGAAAGAAATTCAGCCTCTTGGCAGGGGGATTTCCTTCCAGGCACGGGCTGCGAGGGCGATAAATATTTTTACAGCTACAATACGTTGAATGGCTCCTCCTGGAAGAGACCACGTGATCTTCTAAGCAGACCCAAACAAGAGAATAAGCATCTTTTTTAGAGAACAAAAGGTCAAAGGAAGGCAGGGCTGTGAGATCTGAGCCCGGAAAAACAGACCCTTTACCATGAAAGAGTCGGGGCAGCACACGGAGACGTCACACGCGTTGGGAGGGAACGAGCCTTCCCGACACAAAAAGCCATGTTTTCTATCACATGGAAACAATAGCTCGGTCCCGTGTGAAGGCATCTGTTTCGGTGCGTGGGAAATTGATTTTTCTCACTGTCCATGGGTTCAAGGCATGAATTCTCTGGTGGTCTTTGGCTTTTTTGCATCTCTCTTTGCTGGTGAGAACACCACACACCCTGCCACCCCCATTGCACACCTGAAAGGGATGCTCCAGCACCAACCAGGATCCAGCCTTTGGTCCAGGGAGTCTCAAACCTCCTGTCACACCCCAGCTCTCCTCACGCTCCTGTTTAGTCCTGGAAATTCTAGGTCCCTACCTGCTAGAAGATTTCTCTCTTCCCCAAGAGCCTTGGAGATTTTGAAATGAAACCGAAAACCACGCAAAATGCTCTACCTTGCAACGATTCCCCCCCACTTTTTTTAGCAAGTTTAATAATAACATTTCCTGGCAATCACATGAGCCATCTGGAACAAGAGACACCTCGTAACCAGAAAGCTGAGGACAGCTTGATTGTCTGTTTGCTATTAAACTTCTATTTTTTTTTTTGCTGTACAAGGAAGGGTGGGGATAGGAATGCTGTATTTATCAGCCTGCTGATGACCCTGGCTTGGATTGCTCACCTCCCACATGCTTCACAGTTCAGCAGACAGTGAAATGCCTCAATCATGTACCTGTTTCCTTTTGCAATGCCTTCAGCAGGGAAGGCATCGTGACCCAATGTTGTCTTGGACACACATAGCTACCGGCATGTCTGGTGTCCCCACAAGAGTAGCTGCTGCCAGTGATGGCAGTGCCATTCTTGATGACCTCCACTCCACTAACAAAGAGGACACGGCTTGGCTGAACCCCATTTCAGGAGCTACAGCTGTCTCCTTTCTTCCCACCACTGGGATTAAAGTGCACCAAGCTGCCCTTCATCTGGTACATCCACATAATGTAATGAAGGCCATGAGCTGAGCTCATGAGAAAAACTATGTCAGGCACCACAGTCTGGCATCTTTCTCTATCAGAGGGCAGCAGAAAGGTCTTCTCCCCAGAGGTGTGTGTGTGCTGAAGGAGAGGAGTGTAGGCGAGGAGAGAAATAAAGCCCGTGGTGTTGGCCAATCTCCATTTCCCTCTGTGTGTACACACAGCAATCTGCTAATTCTGGAGGAGGTTACACAAAAGGGTCTGGTGTTGGGATGCCATCCAGGTGACATCCTCACCTCTCCTGGCTCTGGATTCGTCCCACCCGTTACACACCCTCCAGACAAGCTGAGGTCAGAGCAGCCCTTCGGAGAGCAGAGCAGTGGGTTCACCCAGTGGTTGAGAGTACATCCAGAGGGCAACTGACCGCTAAGTTGTGTCAGCTCAAAACATGCTAAAGTATCCTTCATGACAGGTGATAAAGCTCCCTAGACATTTAGTCTTGGAGGAATACCTTTTCTGGATGCAAGCAAGACCTTGACAGCCTCCCTCCAGGCACTTTGCACCACCTGCCCCCCCCAAAAAATGAGAAAAATACGTGTCCAAAGGAGTTCTGGAGATGGGTCCCTGGATGGATATGGCAAAGCAATTCCAGCCTGTGTTTGTAAAGTCAATGGTGTTTGTAAAGTAAACACTAACCACATGGTTCAAGTTCAAGAAGAGCGTAATGAACTCATTCATGTAGTGAAGCCACCCATGGGGACAGATAAATGTCAACCCCCAGCTAGAGAAATAATGACACGGGAGTTAAAGAACGAACTTACATCTGGGTCGCAGTCCTGGTTGTGGGCACCATCTCCTCATCTCACAAAGCCTGAAGCTTCCTCTGCTGGATGTTTTCCCTCTGGGCTGGGACTCTCCAGGTAGTCCAAGGGCACGGGCTTCCTGCACTCACTGCAACCTTTCTGCTCATCCCAGGTTTAAGCATTTGGACTGTTGTTCCGCTTGTTTTCTTCTGGAAGGAGGTGAAGAGAAAAGAGAGGGGGAGAGATTAGCACACCCATTGTGAAATCCTGAGATATTAACTCAGAAGCAACACCAGCGAGGGGGCCAGATGAAAGAAAGAGAGAAGGAACCATGTTGTTACAGCTCACAAGATGCCTTGGCCCCGCAGGAAAGCAGAGTAACAGCATCACATCCCACAAATTCCTTCTTGCTGGTTATTTATTTGCAAACACATTTTCTGGCCAAGATAAAGCTGGGTGACAAATGGAATCAATCCCCTGACCCCGAATGACTCAGAAATATGCGGGTAAAAATACAGCTATGTTTAAAAACAACTGCATTTATTTTGGGAGAGCGGCTGTCATGTTGAACAGCACGGAGGGTTTTCACGGCACAGATGAGCAGAGTGGCCATGTGTTAATAATAACCATTAACTCTGTAGGGCTTTGTTCAGATCACAAAGTGGCCTGGAGGAAGACATGTAGCATGTGAGAGACCATGCAACGGAGGCACAGAGTGGGAAAAGAGTTTATCCGAGACCACACAGTCTGGAAATAGTCACTTCTGTGCCCTTTGGGGCAAGCGGTTGACTTTGCCGAAGCAGAATTCAACCAGTAGTGATTGCTTATGAAATTCCCGTTTTTAATTAAAAGCAGGCACAAATTCGCTGCTGATATTTTTATTAGCTGTGTTGTTCCAGCCACGATGATCCAGAAACACAGCGCATTTCAAGATCTAAGCAGCAAGGTAATTTGTTATAATAGACCAAAGTCAGGTAAGATTTCCTGCCTGTGATATAATAGACCAAAGTCAGGTAAGATTTCCTGGCTGTGTTTCCACCTCAGTGAAAAATCCCATGGAACGCATCCCTGTCGATCAAACTTGGCTTTTGTTTCTTTTTCACCCAAAACTTTCACAAGTGAAATCTTCTCATCGAAGCAGCTGGAAACCAAAAAAAAAATAATTTTAGCCAAAATAATTTAGGCAAAAAGAGACCAGGGGAGGGGGGAAAAGAGAGGGTCTAGCTGACAACTTGAAATTTTCCGCTGAGCGTCTTGCCAAAGAGGAATGTCTCATTTCTGTTTAAACGCCTTCCAAGCAGGTCTGCTCTTAATATATACAGCTTGCAGTGTGCCCCACAGAACTAATGGTCATGCCAGAGCTCCTCTTCTCCCAACATCTGCTCGTAATGGCCCCAGCTGCGTCAAGAAGCGGTGAGGATGGCCTCCTCGGAAACCCATCCTGCAGTGTGCATCTTCCCCACTGTGACTTGTGCCATCTGGGAGGCAGGGACCAGCAGCAGAGACGTAGGACAGGGAGGAGGAAGCTCTGCTAATCCATGTTGCCTTTCTCTGAAGGGTTTTGAGAGTAGATTGCAGCTTGTGAAGGTCCAAGCGGAGCAGGAGAAAAAGGTCAGGTCAAGTATCATTGACCCAGTGGAGCTCTCAGGTTGATTAGTTTGTCTGGGGGTGATGCTCCAGCCTTCCCAGCATCTTCTTCCTGTGTTAACACCACATTCTTGAACGATATTACAAGTAGATAAGGATTTCAGCTTTCCTTCACCATCAAATTAGTCTCCTAGTGATTAGTTTGTCTGGGGGTGATGCTCCAGCCTTCCCAGCATCTTCTTCCTGTGTTAACACCACATTCTTGAACGATATTACAAGTAGATAAGGATTTCAGCTTTCCTTCACCATCAAATTAGTCCCTCAAGGTCATTTTGACCAGCCTACTTGGAAGCCCCTTCAGTAAACTGCATGACCTTCCAGGAGCTCTCTAAATACCAAATTGAGTCCAGATTTGAGCTCACCCATTACCAGTGTTGTTTATACAGGTGGTCACTGTCAGGCACGGGGTTAGCTTGAACCCTCTGGTGGGGAAGGAGCAAAAACTCACTCATCACCTTGCCAAAAGTTCTCCGAAAAAAGCTCAGCACAGCCAGGATGAGTCAGTTACAGGAGGAACTTACCCTGCCACATCCTATTCCACCACCTGAGCACATCAGGGACAACCCAGGGTGGATTCAGCTCCAAATGTCTCCAGGGTACATGTTGACATCACAGCCCCCATGGAGAGAAGTGGGAAACATTAGGGGCCAACTCATAGGTCCTGCTTGAAGCGTGTATGCGGGATTGAAAGCCATCACACCCTTGGCTTCATTAAATATGTTGATTAAGTTTCAGCAAAGGGATTCTAGGGTGGTTAGCTCAGGAAGAGGCGTCTGTCTTGTCAACATCCAGCTTTGGTGAGGATGGATCCCACCCATGAGCTGTGATCTACGGGGCCGGCAGCGCAGGCAGAAGAAAACTCACAGCCCGCAGGACTCGGCAAGCTGAGATACCCACGCTCCATCCTGCTATTTGCTTTGTGGTGTAGACATTCCTCCCATCTGGCATTTGAGAGGAGGAGGAGGGGGGCGTCGAGACGGGGCACCACCCATGAGGTCCCGTTCCAACTCTCCACGGAGGCTGTCACGCAGGAGGCACTCGCCAGCCTCAGTTATCACTCACACACACTCATCACTTCTCCTCTTCGCGAGTCCGCCGAGCACCGAGCAGGGAGCACATCTTGCCTCCAAATTTTTTGGTGTTAGAAGCAGGGTACATCACATCCGACGCAGATGTTCTTTTCAGAAATGAAAATCTGCTGTGGTTGGAGGACTCTGCTCCTCTCTTGCAGCTTGCGTCTATTATCAGATTCAAATTCCTCTCCTTTATTGTCGGTTTTGGATGCAAGCAGGACCCAACATCAAATGCAAAGGGGCCAGCACTGGGTTCTTCCCCTGTTCCACCAGTTTCTTTGCGTTTTGGCAAAGGCAATTGGCAAGGTCACTTACACAGATGGTATCAGAGTTGCCTCATTCAAAATACTACGCCTTAAAAAGAGGGACAGGGATGAACGGGTACCGCAGCCACGTCCTAGTGATGCAGGCATTGGCATGGACCTTCCAGTTATGTCTCATATGGTCTTGCACCTGCTCATTTGCAATTATCCAAATCCAACCAGGAAGCATCAACTGAACAAGTTACATTAAATTCACGACAGTTATAGGCACTGATTGGCAGCTCTTGAATAAACACTCACATTGTGTTTTAGGCAGATCATGTCTCATAAAGCCAAATCCACTGATTGGCAGCTCTTGAATAAACACTCATATTGTGTTTTAGGCAGATCATGTCTCAAAGCCAAATTACAGTTCCTCTTCTTCCATGGGTTTTATGTTCTCCTGGATTTAGTTGGCTCAGTCAGAAGATTCACACCTAAACTATTGATCTGGTTCCCTTTTCTGCCAGAGCTTGCCCACATGGCTTCAGACTAGTCTTTGAGCACCCATGTTTTCAATTACAGGTATCCAAAGAGGAGATGCGTGTCTACTGGGGTCACCACACACTCAGATGGTTTCATTTCTTTCTTCTTTCTCCTTTGGCTGAGTTTGGGTAACTTCAGTTACTTAAATATTAAAGGTGAAACCACTGTAGTCAAGGGGAGATTTTAAAATGTAGATGCTTCCAGCTGACCTTGTTTAAACTCCCTTTTAGGTCAGTAGATACCAGAAGCACTCTTCAGACAGAGTTCGACTCATGCTAAAATCTAAAAGAAGTGCCTGCTGAGTTTAAGGTTGGGTGGGAAGCGTCCCATCTTGAGCATCTCAGCTCAGCTACCCATGTCAGTCCCCTCCACGATCAGGAGAGGTCTTCCCAGAAGGTGAGTCATCTCAATGGTGTCTGGCACCTAAAGCAAGTAGGGACAAACCCAAAGATATATGTCAGCTCATGGAAGACATGAGCTGCAGACTGCTTGGAGGAGGAGAGGCTCTTAGATGGTCCCAAAGCATCTGCCTTCATCTCTGATCTTGCCATGGCATCTGCTGATGACCAGACCATAGAGGATCCTGGCCAAGGGAGCATTTGGCCTGACTTGGCACAAATCCTTTGAGGTCCCTGAAAGAGAGAGGTGCCTCTCTCTTTTGAATTTGGCTGGAGGATGAACGTGCTCAGACTGCACACCCAGCTTTTAGCTGGGGAAATAGTAAAGAGGTCAGCTATTACTGACAGCTGATGGGTGTCACAGCTATATACTTCTTCAGCATCACCATTTACAGGAGATAGTTGAGATTTCTGCATGAGATATAGAAAAAAAAAGGAAAAGAAAAAGAGAAAAGGAAAAAGAGAAAATATAAAAGCTGAGATTTCTGCATGAGATATAGAAAAAAAAGGAAAAGAAAAAGAGAGAGGGAAAAAGAGAAAATATAAAAGAAAAAAAAAAGAAAAATGAAAAAAAAAAAAGAAAAAATGAAAAATAAAAGAAAAAGAGAAAAACAAAAAGATGACAAAAGATTTAAAAAAAAAGAAATATTCACCACCTTCTTAGATCCACAGGCAAAACCAAGACTGCATTTAGTCTATCATTCAAAGAATAGCACCAGGGAGAGAGGAGGAGGAAACAAGACCTATCGGAAAGCATTGAGGGGCTTTCAAAACCCCCAAACTCCCTCCTGGAGTTGAGTTCAGGGGGATCGATGTTTTGCCCTTCTCATTGTTAACAGCAGCAGCACCACACATTTTCTGCAGATGTTTGTGCCAAACCATGGAAGAGCTTTGACAAAGACTATCGCTTGTCTGACACAGGCAGGGAAATCTCCCTGTGACAGATTAATGGACTCCGTGATTGATAGGAGAAAAAAAACAGTCAAAGAACAAAGGAAAGGAAAAAAAAAAAGACTGGCCTGCGTGAATCAGCCCAGTGGATTGTTTATTCCAAGTTGAAATGTGGCAAAATCCGCCTCAATTTGCTCGCTCTCGAAACCCAGCCTTGATATAATCTTTGCAACTGCCTGTATCAAACCACCACGTGTCCAAAATAACCTGGAGACCAGTCCAAGCCCACTTCCCATTGAGACGCAGACCAAGTCCTTTCAGGTTTTGCCAGGCCATAATACTATATCATTTCCCATAGCTATAATAATAATACAGCATCTGAGTAGGGTCCCTGAGGATTTCTAC